TTTGTAACTCGAAACATGTCGCCACAAAAGGATTTAATGCAAAAGACAATGAGAATCTGCTATGTGTTAATGGAGAGTAATATTTTGAATAAAATTAAACGTTTTTAAAATAATTAATTTCAGTGAGACTTCCTCAGCAGAAAATAATTTATCCTTTGCTGCAAATAATATTTCTCTTCAGTTTTCTTTTTAGCTCCTACATCAATTCCCAGTTATCGTCATTATTTTCCTAAGGAAAGTAATTAAAGTTAATGTGTTCGTCGTGGTTGTAATCAACTGCAAACTACTGATTTTCCCATTCCAACATTTTTTTATGTTTCTGCAGCATTAATTTGTCTCTGTGTTTGTAGGCGTAATCTCCTGCATTCCGTAGGTTCTTGACAAGTCGACAGAGAGGAACTACAAACATTCATGTTTGTCACCTTGTACCTTGCAATTTGAAATATTAAAAGTGAAAACAAATCCTCTTTCATCATCCATCAGTATTATCTACACACAAGACAATTTTTATCACATTTCACTGACAGTTACAGAAAATGTGTAGCTCAACATGAGATGATGTAACTCATGAAGGAAGGGGTCTTCTACCATAAATAATGTATTTAATAGAAATGTAATTTGAATGTCAGTGCACCTATGTAAAGAAATTATCCGTTTTCTTAAATATATATATATATATATACTTTTTTTGGGGGGTTCTAAAATTTCAGAAATTTCGGTGTAGAGTAAGTATAAGAGAATTATATTTGTGAGTAGTTGTAAAATGTGTTGACCTAAAAATATTCATGTCTGATGGGCTGACTCTGTCTTTGGGTAGAATGGAAAACTGCTTAAAGCTAAGGGTAAAGGCTTCCACCGAAATGTTGCTTGTAATTTGTTTCTAGACAAGGACATCTACTTCAGCCCTTGTGTCGTTAGATGGCAGAAGAGTTCCTCTGGGTGCGCATATAACGATCATTGAATTTCCCTAGTTCACCGGCGGTGGCGAGTTGTGTTCGCTGTTTTTTTAGATGTTGCCGTCCCTGCGTATTAGGAAATGGCGTGGACTTTCTGCGGTCGGCATGATTGTAAGATATATTTTAAGAAAACTTCAGAACATTTTTGGCTTTCTAGTTTAGGTTTACATTCATATATATTGCCAGGGCGTGCAAGTTAATTTGATGTTATTTGATCATGTGTTGAATTGATGTGTGTCATCTTTTTTACTCACCAGCGCGCGCTGTTGCATTTATTGACTTCCAACCTTTTATCAGAATTGCAAAAAAAATTGCAGGTGGATACACCAGTTTGATAAGGCTGAGCAGTTCTCGGACAGTATCCGTACGATCTCCAATATATAAATACCAAAAGAATGCTCCATTTTGGAGCCACCACACTTTAACTCCAGGGAAAGGACCACCTGAAACCCATCTATTAGGAGGTAGGGTGGACCTACTCAGCAACTGCTATTTTAGCGTTGCTGT